CAACGTAAAAAAGACTATTGCCTCGATGATTTTTGCACAAAGTACGCTGACCATTTTTGATAATGGGCACGACAGTTGGCATTCGCCAGTATGAAGACACCTCCTCAGTGTTTCCATCCGTGTTAAATAGAGAAGCGAGTCCAGACAACAGAGATACCACCATTTTTCAGAAAAAATGGAAGAAAGTCGTCGGATCCAGGAGCCTTGTTGCGCATCAACACGGAAAGCTCAGGTCGAATCTCTTCCTAAGTGAGAGGTGTGACATTTACTTCCCACGTAGGCTCAGGTGGTTCGGCGAGCGGCAGTGTCGCAGCAGATCTGCCGAACTGTTCTTCAGAATGTTCCGCAAAACGAGCTAGCCGACAACATTGAGAATGGATCAACTGCCCGTCTTACTCAGCTATTGTGTCGCTAACTTATGGCTTTCTTGGATTCGTGTTCCGGATGAGCTGGAATAGTGCTCGGCTGTTCCCAATAACACTGGTTTCTCTAACTCACGGGCCACTGCCATCTACCAACATCCCCAGTAGATTCGAAGACTTCTTGTCAGACGTCCTTTCAAGGAGTTATGGACATACTGAAACTCAGTGGATCGCAATATCCCATAGCCAATACCCAACAGTTTTTGCAAAAGAACACAGAGCTGTGAATAGATAATGATAAAACAATGATACCATTCCACGTGAGCGCACTCTTTACGTTTGTCAACTTGCAAATGGCAACATTGGTTGTGATATAACGCTTGAACAACTGGGAACGACCAGTTGGGAATTTGACGACCGAAAATGTATGCAAACTACTTCACTTGTTTCTGTCCACTTACTACTCATTCAAAGGGAAGATTTGAGCAATTGAAAAGTCCACGAATGGATCACCTGTATCAGGATTCGTTGCGGAGACGGTTTTGCAAAAATTGTAGGGGGATGCACTGCCACTTAACAATTCGAATTTGTCGGTTCGGTATGTGTGCTAATCAGGCTCAACCAAATACCAGTCGCACAACGTCATGGAAGGCATCCAATTGACAATGAAACTAGATGTATTAGTAATAAGAACCATGGAAGGGGGAGCTACAAACATCGGTCCACAGGAAAGGCGGCACACATACAGACAGATGCTGAACTTTAACAGCAACCACCGGAAATGCCAAGAAGTAAGCTGTGTGCGGACACTGTAGTAGCACGGACACAAGCGTAACGGAGAGAGGCAACTTAACGGATATCTACGAAGCTTCATCCGAAGGTGTCTGAACCACAGTAACACAAACAGACAGTAGACACCAAGGACAGATGGGTTGTTTTACTTTATATAAAGAATATATCGGAAATGGCGGCTAGACTATTTGAACTGCATTCTCTCATCGCAACACATTAAGCAAATTTCACCTTGAGGAAAACCTTGTCAAAACCAAAGGAAAACCTGGGAGCGCAGGGACGACAGAATGATGTATAGGAACCCCGTTGCAGAAACTTCGAAAAGGTCGATGCTTGTCAAAGTGGAAGAAAATCACCAAAAAGTGTACAAGAGTAGAAAGTAGCCCGTAAAAACGTTAGGCATCATCCTGGAATGGGCCAGACAAAGGCGACAGTATTGTTATCCTAAACACAGCAGACTACCTCAACAAGATGGCTGAAATAGTGGCAGATAATATGAAATTCTTGAAAGTGACTGATGAGCGGGACAAAAAAAGCAGATCGAAAATCAACTGTGCGTCTGTCTCAAAATGCTTAAGGATGGTGGTTATATCAGTGAATCGGTCTATGAAAATCTGCGCCCCGTGGGCACGGTTATTCCAAGGCTTTACGGCCTTCCCAAACCCACAAGCCTAACTGTCCTCTTCGCCCGATTTTGGACATGAGAAACTCCCTAAACCAGTCGGTTGATCGTTGGAACTTCTTGAGGCTGTGCGTAGACGAGTCGCTGTACATACTCTAAAGGAGACTTTTGTGTTTGTAGATGCCCTGCATGATGTTAAAGTCACGAAGCAAACTATGTGCTCTCTCGACGTCACCTCACTGTTCACGAATGTGTCTTTATTTGAAACGATTGAGTTAATTTGCAACTTTGTTGACGAGAACCATCTTGATTTTGGCATACCAACTCTGGTCCTGAAAGAATTACTGGTAAGGGGTACATTTAATGTTCAGTTCCTATTCAACGCGGATATATAACTGCAGCGCGAAGTTGCAATGGGTTCCCCGCTAGGACCATTCCTCGCTGATGCTTTTGTGAGCATGTTGGAACAGGGTAAATGGAAAGCGGTCATCAGCAACCTTACGCTATACCACCGTTACGTAGATGACATCTTCGTCCTACTTGACGTCTCTGGTAATATCGAGGAGCTCACCAGCGTATGTAACTAGGCTCACCTACCAGGTAGAAGAAAAGGCATTTCATTCTCGATGTAGCTCTAAAAAGACTTGATGGTGATGCAGTACAACGTCGCGTTTACCGAAAGCGCACTTGGGGTGAACATTACACAAAATTTCATGGCTTTGTGCTGCTTCGGAGTAATAATAAATAATAATGAATAATGTGTCAGCTGTTCGCCGCGACGGCGCTTCGCTGCCGTGCGATCACCACCAGTCGCGCGCGGGCTGAGTATACCGCGAGGACACCCACCCCTACGCGGATTCGAACCGGTGATCTTATGGTTGCAAACCAAACGAGCAGACCAATCGGCCACCGGCCGACCGCTTCGGATTAAGAGAAACTTGGTTCTCAGTCTCGTGAACAGTGGCGAAACAATCTGCTCGAAGGACACTCTTTTCTAAGGGTTGCAGCGTATACGATAGACGCTTAACGAGAATGACTACCCAGAGAATTTTATTAATGCCAATATGGGGTGAAATAGGGAAGCACCTACGGTCCTGACGGCGGAACGGAAACCTATTTTCCTGTAACTGCCTTACAAAGAGGAAATAGTAGCAGGGAATCTATCCCGCCGCCTCTTGTCCACATTCAGGAATACCTTCCCAGCGACTAGGCTGCAAATCCGGTTCACCAGTAGCCAATGGTGAGACTAAACCTCAAGGATAAGCTGCCTGTCCACACCAAATCAATGTGTGTTTACTCCTTCACCTGTTCCTGTGGAGCAGGTTAGGTTGGTCGTACGACGAGACACTTAGCCGAAAGCGGGTGGGAACACAATCCTGCTTGTCTCGGAAATGGAGGCTAATAGGCCACCAACTCTGCCATTGCCGCGCATCTTGCAGATACGGGTCACGTCACCAAGTCGCCTGATTCGTTCAAAGTAATCTATCAGGCCCCCGAGAATCGATCAAAGTATTTCCGTAAGCGGATATTAGAGGTCGCAGAAGCCATTGCCATTCGGTTGTACGAACCGGCGCTGTGCATGCAGAAACGGTTCACTCACGCGTTGAGTCTACCTTGGCCAGGACGGACTGCAGTTGGCCTGTGTGAACGTACGACTACACATGGAACCTGACAGACGGTTTGTCATAGTGCACTAGAATAAATTTGCCTGACTGACGATCCGTTGGGTCAGTATACAAAATTTTGATTTTCGTGTAATTGTAATAGCCTGATGAGGAATTACCGAAAACATATGTTCGCTTACACAGACTTTTGATCAATCAACGGGTTTTTTCAATTCAAAAAGTGGTCTTGGCACGAGGAGGAACAAAAAGGGAGGGTTACAAAAAAGCTTGGTTCGCCATGAAGAATTCAATCAATATGCATATCGACATTAATTCAGTAAACCAACCAGCCTGATAGAAAAAATCGGAAGGAGTTCAGGACACTTACTGAATTAGAACAACTAGAGCGACCGCTTCAGTAGGGAGAAATGGGCAAAGATCACGGGTCGCAAATCGAATATGTCAGTTGCAAAAGTCACCTCGTCCCCATGTCGATTGAATCGGCGCAATACTGCACCCGGCATATTATCGCAATGACGGTGCGACCTTGCACGGTGTCAGCCAAATTGCCGACCTTTTTGGGTCAACTTCAGCGCGTGAAAATATGTTATCCACGGAAGCAAATGCCGGACTGATGTTGAAGCAGATGCCAAAGTTGTACAGCAGTGGCAAAGCCTATGTGATAAAAATATCCACAGGTAAAAACCATCGTTACTATTGTGGTGCTGCCCAGAAAGCACCGATGATAAGGACCAGACAATTGCTGAACATTCTTTGCGTAAGAAAGGGTCGTCTCGCAATTATATAGAGCCAAATCGTCTAAAATATGAGGTCATCTCGGTGGTACCAGAGATGGTGGAGGTAAGTAGGCAAGTCCTCATCTGCTAAGTCGTCAGCGCTAAGGTATCTCTCAAGATAAACGAGCTTGCAATGATTCGGGTTGGTAGTTAACGTTGGTAGTTAACGTTTTGATTCGTTCTCACGGAGATTTTCCTCTACGAAGCAGTGCACTGAAGATGCCACTGAGGGAAGTGGTGAAACGTTTGTCATTAAATTACTCAGCTCGAAGAACGAATCCAAACATAAACGAGCTTTTGAAACAATTACATCCCTTTAGTAATTTGAATAATGCAGTAAGAAGACGAACACTGGCAGATGTCAACATTTCGAAATGTTGACATCTGCCAGTGTTCGTCTTCTTACTGCATTATTCAAAATAAACGAGCTTGTTGGAAAAACCCAAGAAGTGAGAAGAAAGCGTGAAAGAGTAGGAGCAAATTGTGGTTCCAGAGGATTTGGACAGACGTCTCCAACCCGCGTTGTATATTTCGGGTGGTCGTCTACAAGGAATGTACAACATCATAAGCTTACTCGAGCCACTTTAAATTAAAAGGCAGCAAGAGCCTATTGGCGTGCACAACCTTGGAGGGAAAGCACTCTCATCAGTTTAGACTAGCACCAATGTGATCAAATTTATTGCCGAAAGCAGAGTGGGTGCTACTCGTACCATGGAAGAATGTGCATGACAAAACAGTGAACAATGAGTTGATATAAGAGAGAACAAGTGCAAGTATGGATCGAACACCTCGTCAGAAAAACTGAAGCATCATGACAACTAACCTAGTGATCGGGTCTTCCTTCACATAACGTCCGCCTTTGGTCGAATGTAGTTGAGTACCACCCTTGGAATGAGCGTCGACCGATGACTGACAGTTGTCGACGGCATAACGACGACAGTTCGCCTGAGATGAGGTGGAAGAGGAGCACGTTAGGTTCGTCTCGGTGTGACTCGTTTGGCCTCGTCGAGTGGCGGAATCTGGGGCTGTACCGCTCGTCACCAGTGTGCCGTTCCCCACCCCGTGAGAATCGTGTGTGAAATCGTGGAGCCGGTGGTACGCATGACAAGTCGAGTTAGAAGAGATCCTGCGGACAAAAATCGAAAGTGTGACGACAAGGAGACACGGGACTGAAAAATGAATAGTGACGCTGCATGCGATAAGACCAGAGTATGCGCAAGTTGGGCGGTGTGATAAAAAGCGTACCCCTAACCCCATAGCGCGAGAACAAATTCACCGATCCACCTTTATTGTAACAAGAAGCACAGCTAAGATAAAGGGGCGCGCCTCGCGTACCTAAAGCTAGTACCCTAAGACAAGAGATGCAAATCATAAGGACGTATTTTCTAGGGAATAAAGATACGTTCAACAGTGTGACAAGTCGTCAGTTGGTATTTTGCTCAGCTCAGACAGTATGCCATCTCTTCTACTCTTTGGAACCTGTCTCAATGACGTAAGAATTTCACATAATACAACGCTCAGGCACTGGATTTCCTGGGTGATATTAGTAAGCCAATGAGGGCAGCCATCGTGCCACAGTCGTAGTAATCAAACGCGTAATCCCACCAGGCTCCGGAAGCCCATCCTCTGTCGTTCGACCTCTCTAAAGGTTACAATGTACCTTTCCACCTAAATAGGAAAGGTGTTTACCATGAAGACTGTGTATTGATAATGTAAGACATCCTGCGCCATGAACTATTACGGTTACAACACAGAAAAGTTATGGAAGCCATGGAGCGCTCGATTTTGGCAGGATGTCTAAAATTCTTATCTGGTGTTTGAGCTCACTGATGCTTGAGCCCACTTACGATCAGCACCCGTGTCCTACCAGTGTCCAATGTGATGCGTGAAAATAGTTTCCCGGACAACCCAATACAAGCTTTTGCTTGTTTGTTGAGCGCTGGTTCAAGTGCAGCTGCATTCAGCATCCGAGATTTGTTCACATTTTTGTCTTCATTCACGCCAATTCGGAAAAAAACCATACAAACTCAATCGTGAGATTGTTACGTGTGATTCAATGCCCACTGGAAGAACGTAAGAGAAAAAAATCTGATTCACCGGCACCCTGGCTAAAAGCTCGTCCATTAGCATGCAATTAATGGACTTTTAACTAGATTTGAAGGTTGTTATTGATGATCTGATTCATAATAATGGCCCGTTGATTATTTCAGCTATACTTTTTACTACAATGGAACACGATATGCGCCGGTATTACCAAGTTTGCACGTGTGTGTGTGTGTGAAGCACAGTTGAACATTCACTCACGCACAAGGCACAACCAACGTCCTCAAACTGAATCAATATGGCGCCAACCTCACGCGAAGCTTCTCGTCAGATGTCAAATTAAGGGAGCAACACGACATCGATAGTGGCGTTGTCGTAGGCTGTGGCGCAAGGTCACTCCTCTCGTGGACATGAGGTACATAAGGTGGTCGTAAGTACAAAATGCTCTCATTAACGGTGCAAAAAATAATAGAGAGTAATTTGGCGAGTTTGATGAAATCATTAAAAATAATTCCCTCTATTAATTGGAAGAAAAAGGAACATGCATGGCAGTGATATACTTAAAACTGCTTGTCAGCAGGTTTCTCCGAACACGTATCTGTGTGATTCGGTTGACCAAAAGAGTCAAGGCACTTAGATGTTGTGGACTAAACTGTCACATGTCAACAAAAGCAAGCCACGGTTAGTCATCTAGCAAAACCAACAGAAGCAATGTGGATGGGGTCGCTTCGAACGTAGGTGTTACATTCACAGTAAGAACGAGAAGGGAAATGAGGAAAAATCAATGACAACTATCAGAAAAAGGTATCAGCAGTGAGCTGGTACGTTGTACCGACGCTTCGCTGCCACGCGACCATCACCGTGGGTCGCGCGCGAGCTGGAGATCTGCGAGATCGCCCGCCTCTACGCAGATTCCGACCACTGATCTTTAGGTTGCAAGGTGGAAAATTGGCAGGGGAAATAAGGAAAAAGCAACGCAAACATATGCACAAAAACTCGAGGAACAAATAAATAAAAGGGTGCAAATCGCCAAACGGAAATGTCAAAGCATGTGTGATAATGAATACTCGACTAATCGACCACTGGGTCATCCCGTCTAGGAAGAGAGCTCGATCAGCTCGATCAAATAAATGTGATCCAGGCTACATAGAGCTGTGGATTTGCATGCCCCGACTCACCGCCAGTAGCAGGGCCTTTAAATCGGCCGTTGCCTTTTGCAATGGAACACAGTTTTTACAGAAGCTGCTGCGGATACAGCAGATTTCTTGGCATCTATTGTCAATCATCATCATCATCATTATCATCAACAGCAGTACATCAGCCATTTGAACTGATGCTTCGCTGCAATACAACCATGAGGATCTATGAAATAAAGAATAAGAAGAGGGGGAAGGGGGACTTACCTGAAAACCTTAATGCCCTAAGCAAACATTCAGGATCAAGGCGCCTACACCTTGTGTAGACAACATACTGTCACAAACAGCTGGCTATCGTGCAAAGATAAGGCGGCATCGGCGAGACAGCTTCCTTGCGGATTTCACTGCCCCGCGTCATAATCAGCCATTACCCCGCAGATAACTCAGCACCAAACACACATTAAACAGACAATCCGATTAGGAGATGGCAGCAGACGCGCCACTGGTGTCGGTTACGAGCCATGTCCTGTAAAGTCTAGAGCCAAGCACAAGGCGAGTCACGTGGATTCCAGCCCGGAAGGCGAGACGGACCAACGGCACCCAGTTTGGTCGTCAGTGACTTCATTTCCCGCTGCCAAGTCAATTTCTGTCCACCTCGAGCCTTGCGCCACGCTACACCTGGTAGACTGAACAAGTACCCTCCTAGGTAAGCGGTGACCAGGCATACGTAGCACGTGCCCGAGCCAACGCAACTTATTCAGTGCTATCTGTTGTTCTAGGGAGCTAGCAAGTTTATCACTACCCAGTACTCGCCAACGCACATCATCGTTGCGCACACGCTGGTGCCATCCGACACCAGCAATGCTTCGCAAACAACGATGATCAAAGACTTGAAGACGCCTCAGATCTTCAAACTGAAGAGGCCAAGTCTCAGCACCACACAGCAGAACGGCCCTCACTGTGGCCTTGTATACATGGCCTTTCAGACGGAGGGAAACTCCCTACTGTCGCCAGAGATGCTGCAGGTTTAAGAAGGTAGCTCTGGCCTTTGCAATGCGTGAGCTGGCGTCAGTTTCTATGCGCCCATCATTGCTGATGCAGCTGCCAAGAAAAGTGAAATGATCAACCACCTCGAGTTCCTCGTTAGCAAGGGTCAAGGGGTCATAAAGTGGCTGCAGGTCCTGCAGCCACACTTTGCAATTTGAAGGTACGAAGTGCATACCAAATAATGGGACCACTCCGGACAGGATATTCAGGGTTGAGTGTGCCGCCGCTTCATCGTCGAAAAGCAAGACGATATCGTCCGCATAATCTAGATCAACTAACCTTTCACCAGGCAGCAGTTCAACACCTACATCGTGAGATTCCGCAAGGGAAAACTCCATGATAGAATCCACGACGAAATTGAACAACAACGGGGAAATCGGGCAACCCTGATGAACGCCACTTGTGGTCGGAAAGCTATCCGATAAGACACCATAGACCCTGACGCGGCCTCTAGTGTTCGAGTATAGAGCACGAAGAATGTTCACATATTTCGTGGGAACACCTTTCCGCGCAAGTATTTCGAACAGAATCGATCGATCGACTGAATTGAACGCACTCTTGAAATCGAGGAACACAGCTATTGTCGGTCTGCGATATGCGTGGCGCTGCTCTAGCACCTGCCGCAAAGTGAATATATGGTCCATACAGCCACGTCCTGGGCTGAAACCGGCCTGCTCTTCCCTACTCCGAGATTCCCGTTCCGCAGTGAGGCGACGAACGAGAATCAAGGCCAGTACTTTTTGTCACAACTGACTTTAGGCTAATACCCCCTGTGGTTCGCACAGTCTGTGTGACTGCCCTTCTTGTATATTGCCACTATAATCGATTCGCTCCAATTAACCGGAACACTCCCTTCCTTCCAGATACATTTGCAGAGGACCTCACCACCATCCTTAAATAGTACAGGTGGGAGGGAATCCGGGCCAGCGGCACGAAAACGATTGAGGGCTGTGATCGCTTTTCGGACCTCGGCCTCCGACGGAGGCTCTAAACTAACCGTCCATGGCTCGTCCTGCATCACCTGAGTAGGAAGAGGTCCGGGAACAGATAGCCAACTGAACTGATCTTGAAAGCGTTCCGCCCAACGAGCCATACGGCGCTCCTGATTGTGTATCAGCGCACTCGTACTGTCTCGGATTGTCTCACTGACGCCTGGTTTTCTGGGACCCGTGGTGCGGGTTAGCTGGAAGAGCTTCCGGTAATTGCCTACTGCTCCTGCCTCCTCCATTTCTTGAGCCCTACTGGTCCACCAGGCTTCCTTGTCAGCACGTAGGCTCTGTTTTAGTTAACGCCTAATAGCCCGTCTGGTCACATTCTGTTCAGAGCCAGCCGGGAGGTGTCTTCTAGATTCCAACAGGTTCACCGACCTCTCGGATATCCAGTGACTGGTGCGGTGACGATGGATAGGGCCACAAACAGATGCTCCTGCATCGAGCATGGCGGCCGAGATCCTATTCCACTGAAGCTCAGTGTCATTGTCGTGGGTTGAACTATTGCTAAGGTTAATGTTGCTATTTTTGGGAAAGCATCAAGATAGTGTGTGCTGAACGCGGTTCATTATCAAGAAAACTCCAATAAAATGCGAGAAAAGGTAAAAACATCAAGGAAAACTCATTATTTTAGCAATTAATCGATTATCTTCGATCGTGCATTGATTTTGAAGATTCCGTGATTGCCAGCAAACGGAGTTTTGGCAGGGAGACTGCTAATTTTATCAGTTGCCCTTCCTTTTCTAGAAGCCGTAGGTCACTGAGCCACCCAGATATTTGGCGTAGGGCTGGCGTAGTTGTACAGCGTTTCGGCGGCGTTTTTGTTATCATGATTTTCGCGGTCAAGGTTGTTGGACTTCTGATTTTGCTTCGGCTGTGTTAGAACTCATGCGGAGAATTTTTGAGTGCTT